TCGTCGAGCTGCAGGGGACCGCTGTGGTGTTGCTGTCGACCAGGGAGCTCGACAGCTGCAACTGACTGGTCTGGGCGACGGGTGGGACGTCGACCAGGTCCTGCAGCTCGACCGGGAGGTCGACGGAGCAGTCCGTCGACCTGGCAAGTGAGCAGCGGTCGACGAGGGGAGCTCGGCGACAACCGCTGACGGTTCTGGTCGACGGAAAGGGTCCGTCGACCAGGGGGTAGCTCGACGGGAGTTGTGGTCGACCAGAGGGACCTGGGGGTCGACCAGAAGCGGTGGTGGTCGACCGGAAGCACCTGGTGGTCGACCGGGTCGACCGGGTAACCTGCTCGACGAGTTCTGCGGAGGCACGCGAACGTCGTCGAGGTCGCGATGGCGAAAGCGACTGCGGGCTGGTATCCCGAAGTCGATGTGGCTCGTCAGGCGCAGACAACAGCCGACGGATGCCCAACGAAGCAAATCGGGCCAATCGTCTGCGTGCACCTGCGAGCGTGCGCACTGCTGTGTTCTACGGGGCAACGCTGGACAGCCACTCTGCTGCAGCGTTGGCACGCCGTCGACCTGCTCTGTTGGCAGGTCGCCCTTCTGCAGTGCTGGCGCGGCTCCTCTACGCAACGCTGGCAGGCGGTCGACCGAGCTGTGCTGGCGGTCGACCAGGCTAGCTGCAGGGTTGCTAGGTGCCTGATGTAGTCATTCTGTCATTGCTTGTTCAATCATTCTGTAATTTCGACTTTGCCTAGTGGAAACTCTTGCCGATTACTCCCGTGAATGCGCAAGCACTAAGGAACTAAGCAAAGCTACGATCACCTCTAGTAGTTCGTGCCAACCCCGTAGTCTAGCTCACTACCGTTGTAGAGTGACTCTCCGCATGGTGCGGTGAGCGTGGACGGCCCCGCAAATACCTTTAGATAGGAGCCGACTTTTGCACCTACTAAGTCGTTCGTAGGCCGGCAGCAGCGATAGTCACCATGGTCGACCCCGTAGCTGATGCGGGTGTAGCGGACACCTTGGAGACACGTTTGGCTGACGCGAGGAGACGCCACGCGGATGGCGAGTACGGGACGATCCCCTTGGTGATCGTCGAGTTGGGCATCCGGTCGCAGTGGGCGACGGAACACCCTTCCCGTCCTGCTTCTCCTCGACCGGTGCACAACGAAGGTGGCGTCGACGACGAGGTCAACGGTGGTGCACGAGTAAGCGGCAGCGAAGGCACGAGGCAGAGAGGGGTGATCAAGGTCGACGGTGGCGTCGACGGAATCCAGGCGCGAGCGCAGCGGTCGACGGCGGCTGCAGGCAGCTCGCGTGCCAACGTCGATGTTCGACGTCGCTCTCCTCTACGAAGCGGTGGAGGGCTCTCGGCGACGACGCATGTGACAGCGGGCGGGATTGCACCGGCGTATGGCTACTTCAAGTTCTCGCCGGACCGGATCACCGTCGCACCGCTGCAAGGTCGACGGGACCTCATCACGTGGAGGGGGTCGATCGAACCTCAGCTGGAGGTCGCCGGGCTGAAGGGCTTCGCCGACGGCACCGTGCCAATTCCTCTGTGGAGGATGTCGAGCTGCGCGGGGAGTTTCGTTCTGCTCACCTGCTCACCTTCATGGTCATCTCGAGGTGTTGCTCGCCGGTGGTGCAGCTAGCGCTCAGGAGCTGTCGAGAGCGACTGGATGCTGGTCACCAGGCATGGCGCTTCATCATATCGACGTACCAGGTCAGGGACGACCTGTACATCGGGCAGCTGGAGGAGAAGATGACTCACATTCTGATGGGCGAGCAGGAGTCGGCAACGGATTACTGCAACCGTGCTCGACGGATCCTGGCTGAGATGCGGATGGCGGGCGCCGAATACTCGACGGCGTCCTACATCACCCACATCGTCAAGGGCTTGCCGCGCAGCTACAATCTCATGAAGAGAATGATGATGGTGCCCGGCACGCGTGAGTCCCTCGACGAGGACTCCATCACCAGCTACATTCTTCAAGATGAGGCAATGCAGGAGGCCGAACAGCCTACAGAGCTCCTTCCGCAGGCAAACTACGCTGGATCGACGAAGCTGAATCAGCAGCAAGGGCAGCGCGGGAAGCCGGGCGGAGGTGGTAGCGGAGGTGGGCGGTCGACGAAGGACGTCGACGAGAAGCGGTCGACGCGGGACAAGGGTCGACGAGGTGGTGGTCGACGGCGGGAGTGCTGGATCTGCGGCGACCCCGACTATCTCTCCTTCGAGTGCCCCGACCGCGATGACAGCGACGAGGACGACAACAAGGGATGTCGTGGTCGATCGGCCAGTCGTCGCCCCCGTCGAGATGAGAAGCCGCGCAAGGAGAAGCAAGCGTCGAAGAAGACGTCGTCGACGAAGGACGTCGACAGCTCCAGCGGCAAGAGCCGAGGCGACGGGGAGGCGTCGTGCTCGATGGTCGGCGTGGTGGAGCCGACGGTCTCGCTGGCGCCGGAGGCTGGCGAGGACTACCAGGCGGTGGCGGCAGCGGTGCAGGCCAACCCGATGGTGGTGCTGCTCGACAGCGGGTGCTCCCACCACCTGATGGGGACGAAGGCGGTCTTCGTCGACATGGCGCCGAGCGATGGAGTGAAGCACGTACGTGGATTCAACGGGCCGCTGCAGCCCGTCGAGGGTCGGGGAACCGTCGCTCTACAAGGGGAGGACGGGAAGCGGGTCCTCATCCCCGACGTACTCTACGTTCCGGGCGTACAGGCGAACCTGCTGTCTGCTGGCCAGTTGAAGGAGAGCGGAGTGCTGTTGCAGGGCGACGGCGACGAGATGCTGCTCGTCGCTGCGAGAGGGGAGGTGCTCGGTCGAGCGCGCTACACCGGACGAGTCCTCTGCACCGACCTTCGCCCCTGCTCGACGCAGTCGCCGTCGACCGAGGTGGTGGCTCTGCGGACGATCGTCTCGGCGACGAAGACGACCCCCGATCGGATGCATGCACGGCTCGCACACGTCAGCGTCGACACGATCAAGAGCTCGGCGAAGCATGATGTGGCTACTAGGCTCGACATCACGTCGTCGACCGGAGCAGACCCGCCGTGTGTCTCGTGCGTCGGAGGAAAGCTGGCGCGGCACACCTTCCCCGCCAAGGGCTCGGACGTAGCGGAGGCGCTGGCTGTCGTGCACATTGACTTGTGCGGGCCATTTCGGGTGGCTGCCAAGGATGGCAGCTTGTACTTCCTGCTGCTGAAGGATCGCCATACTCGGTTTGTATGGGCAATGCCGGTCGCTAAGAAGAGCGACGTGCTGCGGGAGTTCCAACGGTGGCTGGTGCTGGTGGAACGGCAGACGAAGAAGTCGGTGCTGTCGCTTCGCTCCGATCGAGGAGGGGAGTTCCTCGGGAAGGCGTTCACGGACTTCGTCGACGGGAAGGGCATCGTCCACGACCTGACGTGCCCCTACACTCCGCAGCAGAATGGCATGGCTGAGCGGGAAATGCGCACGGTCGTCGAGTCCGTGCGGACGATGCTGCTGCACATGAGCGTGCAGCACCACTGGTGACACCTTGCTCTACGACAAGCTGTCTGGGTGCGCAACTGCTTGGAGCGGTCGACGACGCCGCCGGGGACGACACCGTACCAGCTGCTGAACGGGAAGAAGCCCGACCTTACGCTGGCGCGGGTGTGGGGCTGCATGGTGCAGTTCATGGTTCCCGAGCAGCAGCGCGGTGGGAAGCTGGCGCCGAAAGCTCGTTGGGGGCTTCACCTGGGTGTGTCGCAGGAGAGCAAGGGCTGGGAGGTGCTCGACCTGACCGACAACAGGGTGGTCACGTCGGTCGAGGTGATCTTCTACGAGACGCTGTCGCTGGAAGTGTGGAAGGCAAAGTATGGGCCGGCGTCGGGGCGGACGCGGGCACACCCGCCGACGGACACCTCGACGGCGACGGTTCCACTGCTCGCCGAAGTCGACGAGCCTGCTGGTGAGGATGTTGTGGAGGTTCTTCCACCTCCCCCTGCTCTTGCTCCTCCCTCTCCCGCCGCAGATCGGCCTGTCGGCCACCGGCGATGAGGGGAGCCTTGGGGTGTCGCCTGTGGCGCCAGCCAGTGGCATCACCGGCAGTCGACAAGGCGCTAAGCTCGTCGACAAGGATGGGAAGTCGTCGACGACAGGGGAACACCAGACAGGGGAGCCGGTCGAACAGGAGGCAACAGCAGGGGTACACTCGACAGGGGAGCTGTCGAAGCGGTCGACAGGGGAGCTGTCGAATTCAGCAGCAGGCGAGCAGCCGGTCGACGGGTCAAAGCAGCTGGACGCCGACGGGGACGTCGACGAGGAAGGGGAGCAGTCGACGGGTGAGGAGTCCACCGACAGCGACGTGGTGGAAGTGCCGATTACGAAGCCTGAGCTGCGACGCACAGGTCGAGCTCGACGGCCACCGGAGCGGCTAAGCTTCCACGCCTGCCTACCGCCAGCTGCCTTCACCACGGTGTACGATGAGGTCGACGACGACCTGTTGTACGATGACGCCGAGGAGGATGAAGACCTGCCGGAGCTCGACCCTGACGTGCATGCTGACCCCTAGGCATGATCATTAGGCCCGACCCGACCCGACCCGACCCGACTTGGGCGGGCCAGCCGGGTTCCGGGTCGGGTCGGGTCGGGTCGGCACTTCTAGGAATCCTGGCCCGACCCGGGTATCGGGTGCCGGGTCAGGCTTGACCCGCCCCCGGGTCGGGTCGGGTAGGGGCCGGGTCGGGTCGGGTCGGGCCAAAACCCCATATGCAGTGTGTAGGGGTTTCCTCACTACTGTCCAGTGTTGCAAAGATTGAATGTTTGTGTAATATATTATTATATGAACGTCCTCTCTTCTGTAAATTAACTATTCAAAGTTGCGTAAACTGTTACACGTGTTTGGAAAAATCCTACAAAGGCCTAAAAGCTAACGGAGTCAACTAGTAGTTCGACGCACAGGAATAAGAACCAATCAAGTTTTGGTCCGATCACGTTATCTGATGAAGTTTATGGCATAAGCATCAATTACGAACAAATATCACAACCCCCTCGATTCATCCTCCACTCCCAGGGTGGGATTGGCCGTTGAGGTGCCCCTGGGAGCGAGAGTCCCCGAAGGGTGGTGGTCCTGCCACGTCTTAATCAGCATGGAAGCACGCACTTGGCCAGCTGCCAGTCGGTGTCGCTGCCAAGTAATGATGTTCCTGCTCTGTGAGAATGCGCGCTCACTCGCTGCTGACGAAGCCGGTACCCCCAGATAATCTTTAGCCATCGCCCTCAAGCCCTTCAGTGTCTCCCTGCTGCGCCAATACTCCAATGCGCTTCCACCCCTCTGCCTCCCCTCTGCGAGGTACTGATCCACCTCATCCTGTGGATCCTCCCCCTCTTCGGCCTCCATGGCGTCCCACGCAGCGAACAACTGAGGCTGGAGGCTGACATTTGCCGATGCATCCACAGCCCCACCCCCTGCCGACGCATGCACCCCTGCACCCCTCGCACTAGTCACCTCCCCACCATCTCCCAGCGCCGTGGTGCTGGCTGCCTGGTACTCTGGAAGGCGCGCCCGTACCAGGGCCTTCACCCTATCAGGGCCTAGCTCCAGTGTTGCCCCTCTCGAATTCCCCTCTGCTGCCCTGGCTCGGTGCTTGAAGGGTGCGAGCTTCTGGCTCGGGTCCAAGAAAGTGGCTATCGCTGCCTCCTCGCTCACACCCCCCATGTGTCGCTCCAGCTTGCTCAGAGCAGCAGTGATCAGCGATGAGCGCAGAGGGGAGATGCCAGGAGTGAGCTGTGCCTTCTCCTGCAGATCAATCAGCGCGTTGTACTGCGGTACTACGGCTGAGAGGGTAGGGTACAGGGAACCCTCGGCGAAGAGGGTGACTTGCTCGAATGGGGTGAGGAAGCCTCGGAGCTCGGCGAGGTCGTCCCAGTGCGCATCCGTCAACCTGATGGCGTCCCACGCCTTCTTAGTCTCCTTGCTGATGGATGGCTGGTATGGGTCACATGGGTTGTAAAGATGGAGGCACAGCATGGGATGGTGGCACATGCATGGGATGGTGGCACATGCATGGGATGGTGGCACATGCATGGGATGGTGGCACATGCATGGGATGGTGGCACATGCATGGGATGGTGGCACATGCATGGGATGGTGGCACATGCATGGGATGGTGGCACATGCATGGGATGGTGGCACATGCATGGGATGGTGGCACATGCATGGGATGGTGGCACATGCATGGGATGGTGGCACATGCATGGGATGGTGGCACATGCATGGGATGGTGGCACATGCATGGGATGGTGGCACATGCATGGGATGGTGGCACATGCATGGGATGGTGGCACATGCATGGGATGGTGGCACATGCATGGGATGGTGGCACATGCATGGGATGGTGGCACATGCATGGGATGGTGGCACATGCATGGGATGGTGGCACATGCATGGGATGGTGGCACATGCATGGGATGGTGGCACATGCATGGGATGGTGGCACATGCATGGGATGGTGGCACATGCATGGGATGGTGGCACATGCATGGGATGGTGGCACATGCATGGGATGGTGGCACATGCATGGGATGGTGGCACATGCATGGGATGGTGGCACATGCATGGGATGGTGGCACATGCATGGGATGGTGGCACATGCATGGGATGGTGGCACATGCATGGGATGGTGGCACATGCATGGGATGGTGGCACATGCATGGGATGGTGGCACATGCATGGGATGGTGGCACATGCATGGGATGGTGGCACATGCATGGGATGGTGGCACATGCATGGGATGGTGGCACATGCATGGGATGGTGGCACATGCATGGGATGGTGGCACATGCATGGGATGGTGGCACATGCATGGGATGGTGGCACATGCATGGGATGGTGGCACATGCATGGGATGGTGGCACATGCATGGGATGGTGGCACATGCATGGGATGGTGGCACATGCATGGGATGGTGGCACATGCATGGGATGGTGGCACATGCATGGGATGGTGGCACATGCATGGGATGGTGGCACATGCATGGGATGGTGGCACATGCATGGGATGGTGGCACATGCATGGGATGGTGGCACATGCATGGGATGGTGGCACATGCATGGGATGGTGGCACATGCATGGGATGGTGGCACATGCATGGGATGGTGGCACATGCATGGGATGGTGGGACATGCATGGGATGGTGGCACATGCATGGGATGGTGGCACATGCATGGGATGGTGGCACATGCATGGGATGGTGGCACATGCATGGGATGGTGGCACATGCATGGGATGGTGGCACATGCATGGGATGGTGGCACATGCATGGGATGGTGGGACATGCATGGGATGGTGGCACATGCATGGGATGGTGGCACATGCATGGGATGGTGGCACATGCATGGGATGGTGGCACATGCATGGGATGGTGGCACATGCATGGGATGGTGGCACATGCATGGGATGGTGGCACATGCATGGGATGGTGGCACATGCATGGGATGGTGGCACATGCATGGGATGGTGGCACATGCATGGGATGGTGGCACATGCATGGGATGGTGGCACATGCATGGGATGGTGGCACATGCATGGGATGGTGGCACATGCATGGGATGGTGGCACATGCATGGGATGGTGGCACATGCATGGGATGATGGGGCATGCATGGGATGGTGGCACATGCATGGGATGGTGGCACATGCATGGGATGGTGGCACATGCATGGGATGGTGGCACATGCATGGGATGGTGGCACATGCATGGGATGGTGGCACATGCATGGGATGGTGGCACATGCATGGGATGGTGGCACATGCATGGGATGGTGGCACATGCATGGGATGGTGGCACATGCATGGGATGATGGGACATGCATGGGATGGTGGCACATGCATGGGATGATGGGACATGCATGGGATGATGGGACATGCATGGGATGGTGGCACATGCATGGGATGATGGGACTAGCATGGGATGGTGGCACATGCATGGGATGGTGGCACATGCATGGGATGGTGGGACTAGCATGGGATGGTGGCACATGCATGGGATGGTGGGACATGCATGGGATGGTGGCACATGCATGGGATGGTGGCACATGCATGGGATGGTGGCACTATTCAAGCCATGCCCACGTACCCCCATTCGCCATAGTCACAAGCGAATGTGAATCCTACCATACGTACATCTGAATCGTCGAAAAACATGGCAATGGGCATGCGCAGCTCGAAGCCCCTGTTCACCATGTGGAGTGTAGAACCCCATCTCGTTAGGCAGTCCACGATCAAACGCAACGGACCCGATGGTCGCCGAGAACCCGGAGGACCCTGGGGCCGGGTCGCCGCGTATCCCTTCTGGAGCTCGAAGAAACGATCTGTGCGCAGTGTGGACCAGCCGATATAATTCGCCACGTCTCGCAGCCTCTTGAGTGGCTCGGCCACCTCGTCAACCTTCAGTGCAGCTTGCACTGCAAGGTTGACGACGTGCGCCACGCACCTGTTGGGGCAATGCATTGTGCAGAGTGGGTTTAATGTCACTGTACCACATAAGCACTGCCATAACAAACATGGTGGACTACGCCAACAGTTTATAGCATACCCTTACGGAGACAGCCCCATAGTACCTGAAGTGCCTCCAGCGACTGAGCAGTGGTGGGTGCCTGGGCCGTGAGCCCGGCCTGGCGTCAGGTACACCGGCCAGCAGACGCATCGCCCTGCTGTTGTTCTCGGCGTTGTCACACGTCACGGCGAACAGCATCTTCTCCAAGCCCCACTCCCTCAACACCTCCTCCAGCTCATCGGCTATCAAGTCCCCCGTATGAGAGCCCTTAAGCTCCCTGAAGTCTATAACAGCCTGTTTCAGCTGGAAATCGCTGGTGACATAGTGGGCAGTCACCCCCATGAAGGCCACGTTGTTCTCACCGGTCCAGATGTCAAAGGTGAGGGACATCCTTCCCGCCAGGCCATCACCCACCAGTAGCTGCCGCATGTCCTCCCTAGCAGCCTCCCCGTATGCCTGCATGTCCCGTGCCAAGCGATGGCGTGAGCCGAGCAGTAGCGCAGCTCCCGGGTTCAGCATCTGGACAAATGCTTTGAACTGTAACGCAGGAGTCAAAGGATGTCGGTAAAAGGATTATGAAGATGCTTCAGGATTAGCCAACAGAATGCAGTGCAGCTGCCCTGCACTAATATGACCACCTCAATACGAAGATGAACATGACCAACGGCAAGAGAACGGCGTCACTCACCTCGCGACACTCAACAAGTCGAAACGGAAGATCAGCTGCCTACAGAATGCAGTGCGGCTACACTAATATGACCCCCTCAATACGAAGATGAACACAACCAACGACATGAGAATGGTGTCACTCACCTCGCGACACTCAACAAGTCGAAACGGAAGGTCAGCTGCCGCAAATAGCTGCACCAATCCCTCGCGCAGCTGCTGGCCATGAACACGCGGCGTGACGAATGCGGCCATGCTCATCTGCCTACTCCCACCAGCCTCGGCTCCGCCAGTCACTGCGCTGTCTGGTGTCTGTACAATCCTGGGCCACGTGGCTGCATGCTCCCAAGGCCACGCTGTCTGGTCGGGGACATCCGGACCCCATCCCCCATCGGGAAACGTCAGGTTGTCTGGCTTGTTTGGATCCTTGAAACGCCGACACCAGATCTGCAGACTGGGGTAGTGGCTCCTCTTGAGGTGTCTCTTCCCCGTGCTCGTGCAACTACCTTTCCAGCTAATCTTCTTCTTGCAAATCTTGCAAGTCCTAGCTTCTTTCACATCCTTCTCACTGAACATGCCACGAACCAGCCCGGGTTCTGCATTCCTAAGCACCTCCTCAGTCCATGGGTCCAGCTCCTCGTCGGTAGGGGTCCTGCCCGCCCTGTCGCACCTCTGGCCCCCAATCACAGCAGCAGCTCCAGCCCCCGCAGACCCACCCACAGGTGCACCACCTGCCGCAGCGGCGGAGGTACCTGCCCCTGCTGCGCCCGACCCATCAGAACCACCCGCGGCTGCCCCCTGCGGCTGCGCATTCGACGCCGGCCCGGCCCCTCCAGCTCCCGACCCCACAGGCCCACTCGTGCGTGGCCTCTTTGCTGCTGCACCGCTGCCACGCGCGCCACTGCCACCAGCCTGGCCCCCTCCTCTCCCTCCCCAACCCTCATCACCCGATCCCCCACTCGTGCCGGCCGCCTCCCCCGGAGCCAGCCTCCAATCCGGGTCCTTCTCCTTTCCCCGTGTTCCTTGCTCCTCCGTCACTGGGCCAGGTCCTTGAGACTCCCATTCCCGCACCTCTTCACGCCTCCTCGTCGCGATTGCATCGTCCCACCCAATTTCCTGCCCATTGAAGACGCTCCCCAAGCGAAAACTGGCCCTGGAGGCCGGTGTCGGGAGGCCTCCAAGCGAAGCCCCAGGAATTGCGCGTGAGCTGTCATCTTCCCCCTCCATTCGCGTGCAAGCGGGGTCGATTACGTTTCGGACCTTGGAGTCGCGACGTTATTGTAATGGCGCAGGCCTAGACAATTGGGGGTCGCGTCCCTATCGATGCGGGCGTGGTAGGCGCGCAGTGGGCGATTTGAACGCGGGGCCAGAGTTTAGTCGCGTGTGAGAGCTAGGAATAACTAAGTCTATAAAATCGAAAATCTGTGGTTGGTCGCGCTAGGCTAAGAAGTCCATTCCGCCAACATGGAAACACTTGAAATAGGGTTCCTAAACATGGGCGCTGGTTTAGAGAGTTCTAGAGCTTGAGAACGAGCTATTGCTAGCTGCCTAGGTATTGCAGATCGAAGTCAATGTCGAGGGAACAAAAAAACCCTAGACATTGACTTCGCGATCTGCTTTAGTTCGAATTGTCGAGGGAGGGAAACTCGGGTCGGGCCAAATGCCCGACCCGACTTAGGGCGCGGTACCCGATTTCGAGTCGGGTCAAATTTCGGGTCAAAAACTGACCCGACCCGACCCGACCCGGTTTCGGGTGTCGGGTCGGCCCGACCCGGCCGGGTAAACCCGACCCGACCCGCCCGGGTCAACGCTTCAAAACGCCTGACCCGACCCGGGTCAAAACCCGGGTCGGGTCGGGTCGGCCCGACCCGCCGGGGCAGGATGATCATGCATACTGACCCCGAACGCCGCCGCTGGGACATCGCCATGATGACGGTGAAGGAGGCGCTGTCGAGCTGGAAGGGCGAGGCGGTGAAGGCCGCCATGGAAGAAGAGATTCGCAGCCTCATTGGTATGGGGACTTGGGAGCTGGTCGAACGCCCACGCGGGGTGAACATCATGAAGAACCGGTGGGTGCTGACGACCAAGTACCGCATCGACGACACCGTCGAACGCGAGAAGGCGAGGCTGGTCGTGAAGGGCTTCACGCAGGTGTACGGTGCCGACTACGACGAGACGTACTCGCCGGTGAGCAGCTACGTCACGCTGAGGATCTTCCTCAGCATCGTCGCCGTCCTCGACCTCAACCTGATGCAGCTCGACATGAAGAACGCTTTCTTGCAGAGCAAGCTCGACACGGTGCTCTACATGTACCAGCCGGACTACTTCGACGACGGGACCGGCCGGGTGTGTAAGCTGCTGAAGAGCCTCTACGGGCTGAAGCAGTCGCCGCTGCTGTGGTACAGGGCTCTCGACAGTGTGCTGCTAGGCGCTGGCTGGAAGAAGAGCCAGGTCGACGAGGCGCTCTACTTCAAGGCCGGCGACGACGGAGTGACCTGTTGGGTGCTGGTCTACGTCGACGACCTGCTCGCCGCCAGCAGCAGCACCGCGATGCTGAAGGAGCTGAAGGAGCTGCTGGAGGCCGCCTTCGAGCTGCGTGAGATCTCGCCGGTTGTGAAGTACCTTGGGCTGGAGATCATGCGCGACAGGCCGGCCAGGAGGCTGTGGCTGCATCAGCAGGGCTACGCCGACAAGCTGCGCAGGCGCTTCATTGACGAGGAGCAGGGCGGTCGAGTCCCGAAGACGCCGGTCTCGGTCGACGCCTACGCTTAGCTGACATTCGACGACGAGGAGGCTCAGGAGCGCGAAGAGGAGGAGTACCGGCAGAAGGTCGGCTCGCTGCAGTTCGCCTGCAGCAAGCTGGGGAGCGGCCTCACGGTGAGGAGCGACCAGCATTGGCGCGAGGTCGACCGCTGCCTCGCCTACCTTGCCGGTACCCGCGACACCGCCCTGGAGTTCGGCGGTGGACCAGAATTGTTGGAGCTGATCGGCTGCGTGGATGCCGACGACGCGGGCGACAAGCAGAATCGGACGAGCACGGGAGGCTACGTGTTCGTCTACGGAGGGGCCGCCGTCTCTTGGTCGAGCTCGCGCATCAAGTGCGCGACATTGTCATCGACCGAGTCGGAGTACGTGGCGGCCACGAATGCCGGCAAGGAGGGGCGTCGACTTCGCTTCCTCCTTGCGGAATTCAAGCTGCTCGACGCTGGGAAGCCGACCATCCTCCGCGTCGACAACAAGTCGGCAATCACGGTCGCTGAGGGCTTGGGGTTGACGGGCAACCTCAAGCACATGGAGCGACGCTACGCCTGGCTGCAGCACATGGTGAGGCGCGGGAAATTTATGCTGAAGTACATCCCGACCACCGAGCAGCCGGCGGACTTCCTGACGAAGGCGCTGCATTTTCCGGCTTTCAACCGGTGCTCTGTCGCCATCGGCTAAGTTCGTCTGGCCGACGTCAGCGACGGCGACGATGAGGTGCAGCAGTAGGTGCCGTGCCCTTCTGCACGGCTGGTGCGGTGACGGCGTGCTGTCTGTGGGGTGCACGCCGAGGACGAGTCTTCTCCGTGGAGTACTGCCGTGTGGGCTGGAGGCCCAAGCGTGAGCGCGGCAGGGGAGTGTTAACAGGAATGGAGTGTTGGCCCCGCCCTCGCTTGGGCAACGCCGACGACTTGGTCGGATGTGTGGGAGTAGCAGCCGACCGTTCACAGTGAGAGAGCTGCTCGACAGGCTTCGTCGAGCTGCAGGGGACCGCTGTGGTGTTGCTGTCGACCAGGGAGCTCGATAGCTGCAACTGACTGGTCTGGGCGACGGGTGGGACGTCGACCAGGACCTGCAGCTTGACCGGGAGGTCGACGGAGCAGTCCGTCGACCTGGCAAGTGAGCAGCGATCGACGAGGGGAGCTCGGCGACAACCGCTGACGGTTCTGGTCGACGGAAGGGGTCCGTCGACCAGGGGGTAGCTCGACGGGAGTTGTGGTCGACCAGAGGGACCTGGGGGTCGACCAGAAGCGGTGGTGGTCGACCGGAAGCACCTGGTGGTCGACCGGGTCGACCGGGTAACCTGCTCGACGAGTTCTGCGGAGGCACGCGAACGTCGTCGAGGTCGCGATGGCGAAAGCGACTGCGGGCTGGTATCCCGAAGTCGATGTGGCTCGTCGCGAACGTCGTCGAGGTCGCGATGGCGAAAGCGACTGCGGGCTGGTATCCTGAAGTCGATGTGGCTCGTCAGGCGCAGACAACAGCCGACGGATGCCCAACAAAGCAAATCGGGCCAATCGTCTGCGTGCACCTGCGAGCGTGCGCACTGCTGTGTTCTACGGGGCAACGCTGGACAGCCACTCTGCTGCAGCGTTGGCACGCCGTCGACCTGCTCTGTTGGCAGGTCGCCCTTCTGCAGTGCTGGCGCGGCTCCTCTACGCAACGCTGGCAGGCGGTCGACCGAGCTGTGCTGGCGGTCGACCAGGCTAGCTGCAGGGTTGCTAGGTGCCTGATGTAATCATTCTGTCATTGCTTGTTCAATCATTCTGTAATTTCGACTTTGCCTAGTGGAAACTCTTGCCGATTACTCCCGTGAATGCGCAAGCACTAAGGAACTAAGCAAAGCTACGATCACCTCTAGTAGTTCGTGCCAACCCCGTAGTCTAGCTCACTACCGTTGTAGAGTGACTCTCCGCAAAGGTAGCGTAGAACACGCATGGCTGCCTTCCAATGATCTCCACCGTGCTTGCTGGTGCCAACAAACCGCGCCAGAACACTGACCGGGTAGGCAAGGTCGGGACGAGTGCAGGCCATGGCGTACATCAAGGCCCCAACGAGTTCTGCATAGGGATGAGAGGAGGTGATGGGAGTGGCGGGAGGGGAGAGCCGGTGCACGAATGCAAGCGGTGTGGGGATGGGTTTGGCTTTCGACATACCAAACCTCTCAATGTAGAAGGATTAAGAGAGTGGGATAGTCTTGGCTATGAGGTTGCGGGTGATCTCCATGCCGAGGTAGTTGCGGACTTTCCCCAGGTCTTTGGAGGCGAGGCGTTGCTGCAGCTCATCCTTAACCTCCTGAAGTTCAGTAGCTGTATCAGCGGCCAGCAGCATGTCGTCGACGTAGACGAGGATGTAGAAGGGTGACGGGGTCAAGCGAAGGAAGAGGCAGGAGGCAGCACGGGAGGGGCGAAAGCCAAGTGCACGAAGGGTGGATGAGAGTTTGGCGTGCCATTCTCGAGGTGCCTGGTTGAGTCCGTAGACGGGTCGGAGTAGCTTCCAGACGGTGGCAGGGTCGTGGGGAGCGTGGAAGCCTTTGGGACGTTCCAGAAAGATGAGCTCATGGAGGTCGCTTTGCAAGAAGACAGTGGTGATGTCCATGGAGTGAAGGAGCTTCCCGCGTCTGCCAACGAACTCCAAGAACACGCGAATGACCGGCGGGGTGACGGTGGGTGAGTAAGTCTAGAAGAAGTCCAAGCCGTAGGCCTGTGTGAAGCCTTCCGCCACATATCGTGCCTTGTAGATAGGAGCTTCGCTAGGGAGTAGTTTTACTCGGAACAGCCACCTTCGTTTGACCACGTTGGTTTTATCAGGGCGAGGGACGACGAGCAAAGTGCGGTTGCGGATGAAGGCGTCACTCTCCTTGACCATGGCCTCAGAGAGGTTCGTCAAGACATGCAATCGTCTGCTCGTAGGTGGTGGATTCGTAGATGATGGGGGTGCTAGAGAAAAGGAGGACTGGAGTGCCAGCCATGGTGCGGACGATGGGAGCGATTGGGTGAGAGGAGGTGGAGGATAAGGAGCTCATCGTGAGAGTCTTCATAGGGGTCCGGAGAGAGAGGAGGAGGAAGAGGAGGCGGTGGAGTTACAAGACAGCTGCGCTGGAGGGTCGGGCCGGGGTGGGGACAGCTGCACTTCTGCTCTGCTGCGCTGAGGGTCGGGGCGGGGAGACAGCTGCAATGCTGCTCGGCTGCGTTGAGTTGCCGTGAGGGGCAGGGAGACGGGAGCGTTTGTTGTGAGAACCTGAGGGGCTGATGCACGGGAGAGGGGAGGTGCTAGAGTGACAGAGAAGGGGAGTGGATGTGAGAGACTGGAGGGAGAGGGGGTTGGACCATGGGGCACCAAGGATGGGGACCGTGGAGCGGGTGTGAGGGTAGTGACGAAGGAGGGGAGGGGAGGGAAGCAGGGGCCGGGGTGGTGGAGAAGGAAGTAGGGAGGGAGGAGGTGGTGGAGGTTGTGAGGGGAGAGGG